CAGCTACGTGTAGCAAAGCTAGTCAAGGTTGGATCCACTGCAAAAGATTAGAAAACGAACGACTCCATTTAAAAATAAAACTGTCGGTTGGTTATATACAGGTGTACGCGTAAGCAATGGGGTTCTCTCTGAAGTGGTGGTTCTTGTTCTATTTACTTGCGGGCGTGTCTTCCATATGGGCGATACGGCGAACCGCACTAAGTCATGTGACTACTGCCTACTCACAAAACAAACTCCCATACCTGCCAGGTGACCACAAACCTACTTCGGCTTTGAGGATTCCTCATTAATATTACAACAAAAACACTTATAATTCGGATTTCGATCGTAAGTCCCAGTACGAAATTATGGCAGCTTTTTCTTCACCCCAAGGTCAGCCATCATAGGTAAACCATGTGCTATGGAAACAACTCAAAACCCCTGCGTTGTCCAGACATGCCTCAAACCATTTCCTTTTAACCGTTCGAGAAGTGGTCTGAAGTGTCCTCTTCCCAATTGGAGTAGGTGCCCGGGATACCGAGACTATACCGAAGTTCACCAACAAAAGACAGAGCACGACAGCTTCTATTGTTAGTGTTCATGAATTAACCTGCCCATAACTCTGATGTTGATGATGGCCAAGTCGAAGAAGAACGGATGGTTTTTCATGTAAAGATAAGAGGGTGAGAGAATACAAAATAGGAGATAAAGCCAACGTAAGTAGATTTGATAAGTCCGAAGTAGGTAAGAGCATCATGAATACGGTCGGAACATTGTTATATTAGAGTCAAGTGCGAGATATATATACACATGTCCTGTACCTATTAACCATAACTAATCTCCATACCGCCATGAAACAAATCGATTTCAATCCTGAGCATCAACATGAGTTACGATTATACGTTAAGTTCGTAGGTACCGATTAAAAAAGAGAACTGCTAACAATTAGCTCTTTCGTGGTGTCAGCTGTACCCTAGCCATCGAGGACTTGGCGCGCACGGTGTTCTATTAGAAATTCTTCCGCCAACATTCGACATTCACCCTGCGTGATTTCATCAGCCTTCTGCATCATCTGCTAAACTTGTCTCTCATTTTTGTGCACCACGATTTTGATCCTCTTACGGGTATGGGAATTGTAGTGGGCGTATTTTTGGTGGGCAGTTGAGACGAGAGAATAGTCGATGAGAGATATGTTCATTGAAATGAAGATGTGCTTAGACTTACTTGTACACCTAACGATAGATGTGCGGGAATTGATCTCGTTGGAAGGGAGAAATTGATTTGTCGGAGACTAGAAATATTACCTCGTGGGCCAACTTCTTTGCTATTGTGAAATTTATCTGAACTTGGTAAAGATATTGTTTCACACCCAGATTCGTAGGAAACAATGCAGTCGGGTGTTGAGTCTTTGTCCTCCCACGGATGACAGCTGAGTATATTTTGAATCGGGGATTTAGCTGCTTCACAATACCGGGACTCTAAGAGTGTTTGTGTCATCTTGGCAAATCTGGTAACCCTAGGCTGCACCTTGACACTAATATGATCTAAGATAATCGAATCCACGAGATCTATGTATGTTTGTTTTGTTTGTTTTATTCATTTACGTGCTAGGTATAGTGATTCCCGTTGCACTCCTACTGCAGCTTAAGCACAAGTAGGGTCAGGTTAACTACCGTGAAGTACAGATAAACCTCGTCCCACTTTAATGACCGGACCAACTCAGACTTCACCTATGTCTTGAATCATACCAAGCCTAACCGTCCAGAAACCCGCTGTATACACGCCGTAGCGCAAATTTCTCCTCAGCCTCGGCCACCACGCGCTCGAGCCCTTAACGTCTTCTTTTTTTTTTTAAATTCATTTAATGTGTATTCAGCTACCTAGCTATGACACATGACACATGACCGGTGCTATGCATACATGTTGTATGACTCTTTTGACGTTAGAGACACTCATACTCTGGATTTCATTTGCAAATACCACTATGAGGTATGCTTGCATACACAAACTGTCGACCCTCCTCCGTTAGTACCCACCGAAGGGAATTTCGAAACCTTTGGTTATCAAAGCATGCTATCATCATCCATGCATACCAACGCCGCGAGAGATGTGCTTGTGATTTACTGGATTTGAACCAGCGATCTACTGTCTCAAGTGGGATATGTGTTCAAGCTATCCAGACTCTACTTCGCAGACCGGCCAAGACGATGTACCACCGCACCATCCAACCATGGCGGTGTTTATAGTGTCGCCTGCACTCTCGTATCCGAAGACTTGGCACGCAAAAAGCTCAATTTGTAAAAACTCCTTTCCAAATTTCAAAATTCCATGCCCGTCGAGACTGTATCCAATCCTCTGCATCATCTTATTAACTTGTCCTGATCCCTCTCACATCCATCCCAAGGAATTGTCTTCCAGATTTGTGCGCCACGCTTTGCCTCCTCCGTCGGGTGTAAATATCGGCGTGGGCGTGTATCTGGCGACCAGCTAAGGCCAGAGAAAGTCGAAAAAAAGTGTGGTCATTGGAATGAGGATGTAATAGGTCGTACTTGTAAATTTGATGAGGCTTAGGTAGGAATCGATTTCGTTGGGAGTGAAAGATTGATATGGTGGAGTATTTTGAATCATTGCCTCGTGGGCCAACTTGTTCGGTATTGCGAAGTTTGACTGAACTTGGCTCTGGTAGAATATTTCACTCCCAGGTTCGTACAGGACACCGCGTACAGGTGCTCAGTCTTGCCCTCCTCTTGACGTCTTCATTGACTCCAAAATATAAATGCCGTCAAAGATCTCATCGTTGCTCTAGCCTTGCACCTTCATATCGTACCGTTGGGTTGTTCTCGTCATTGGGGATTTGTGTAATCCCCTCGGTGTATCTTCCCTTTTCTTCCTCCTTTGTACACGTCCCGTTTCCGTCATGACTTTCCTCACTAGGGCGTGTGTAGGTAGGTCATCGGACGAGTATGGAAGTGGGTCGCAGGTATAGGATCGACTGAGAAATGCTTCGTCGCAAATATAAAAGGAGTTTGAGAGATGTCGGATGTTTGAATACGACCCCCAAATAGACCTAAATCCATTCGTGAATCGTATGTTAGTGGTGATGAGTTTTTGTTCAACTTTGTTCCGGCTGTGAAATATCTGCCGACTGATTTATCGACCAAAATATCGAGTGCAACTCCTTCAAGTCGAAAATCCACCAAAAACAAATTCATCCCACCTTTTTTCGTGACTGAATCTCGGCTCTGGGAGAATATTTCGCTCCAAGGTTCGTAGAGGGCACCACGGACAGGTGTTCAGCCTTCGCCCTCCCGAGATCTATGTATGGGTTATTGTCCTGTAAATTTTAAAACTATGTAAGGGCATGTGGGTCCTTTCTGCCTAGAGGTCAGGAGTATTTATGCTTCGGGTAGTGTACTCCCTCCTATGCCTCCCTCACGAGTTCTTTCCAGCAGTAATACCCCCACAGGTCTTCATTCGAGTACACACTAAGAGGAGCCGTTATCCCGTCATTATCTCCTCTCTCCAGCCAACGAAATGAGGGACATTTGCGGGTGTGTAGCTGCTGGGAAAAGTCTCAAAAACCACTGGGTGCGGTGCTCTCCTATGACGAAGAGGCCGGCCAGCCGGGCGCAGCAGACCTGTGTATACCTAAGAGTGTCTCTCAACCTTCCTAGCCTCCTCCCTACTCCTCCCCTGATTCATGCTGCAGGACAAATTGAAGGTCGTGAAAGGATGTCAGAAAAGTCTTGGTCGAGAGTGACTGTCGTGGAGGAGCCTAGCCTAGCATCAAAAAGTCGTTACGGACGTGGGGTTGTCGAGTAACTCATGTATTTCAGATGCCCTCCTGGCTAGTGTATTCGGAAGTTAAGATTAGTAGGGACGATATTTTAGACGAGTCGAAATCTGCTTTTCTTGAGGGTGGAAGGGTCTTTTTTTGATTTCGTGGACTTTTTATTCGCCCGCCGGTGAGTTGCACATGTCATGATATAACGAAGGCTTCTCTGACTATCATTGTAGCTTTTGGTACCGCATTATCTTTCCTCATTTCCAGCATCAATATCGTCGTCTTGGCTGTCTTGTGTGTTATAGGAAGTGTATCCTTGACGGGGGGGATAACTCAGCTCAAAGTTGAAAAAGTAGTGTTACTCAATCTCGGCTCTGCAGACTCTACAGTAAGAGCTGGAGCTTCGTTGGGGACACCACTGACAGGCGCTGGGTTTCGTCTCCCGAGTCCACGAAATAATTCCGCGACTTCCTGACACAAGGAGCTAAATAATTTGAGTCCTATGAAAGACTACTATACTATCGAGTGTTTTGGCCCGGCTACATCCCATGAATTGTGTCATGATTTCTGTCCGAACCTGGCATGGTGTAAAAGCCATTGCCGTTATCAGCGTTAGTATCGCCAGCCATCATATGCTGCGTACGTATGTAGCCGTCATTACATAGCTGACTTAATGCGCGTTTATTTGACTCATAGGTTTCTAACACTATGGGGGTTTCAACCCATCACATGTGCGACGCATATCTTCGCACTACTTGGGCCTGTACAAGGAATACTACCTGCCATTCGTCTTTCCAACCCTTTTGTGTCCGTTTGACCTTATGCAGCGTTACAGTTTGATTCTGGCCTCGCCAACAACAATATGCATGGCACAGAAAATATGCTGTTACTTCAAACATCACCACGATACCTTCGTCACCTCTACTTCACGACGAGTTTTGCACTGAGGTAATCGTTTCGAGCGCCACACGCCAATGTAATTGGTGAATACCCTTGAAATTGTCAGCTCTATAGACATTCAAATCTCAATTCCTGTGTATAAGAACAACCGGTAACTGGGAGCAAATTTGGATTCTTCACTTCAACATTTGATTTAATTTCTTATTATTCAAAATTCCTCTCCTCGCAGCCTGGTGCTATTAATATCAAATTATTTAATCATTAATTTCTATCATATCAACTAGCAATTTAACATCATCTTTGATATTTTACTTTTCGATATATAATAACCATTAATATGCAGTACTCTTCGGTCATTCTCGTTGCTGCTTTCACAGTCACTAGTGTCTTTACCCATGGAGTCGTTGATTCAGTCGTTGGCGCTAATGACGTTACTATGCCGGGTCTCTCAGGTATGTGACTCGCCACGATCCCTATCCCTGTCATCGTTGTTGACATTGTCCTTGTCACTGTCACTGTCCCTGCCCAAGCCCCTATCCATATCCATGTTTATGTCTTTGTCCCTGTCGTACACCCACTTTGAGTCGCTTCTGACACGAATACTACAGTTGCCGACGGCACGCCGCGTGATTGCGCCAGTCCTCGCTGCGGATCTGAGGCTGATACTTCTATCATCCGTAAACGTGAGATGGGCACCAACAAGGCCACTGCACTTGGTCGCACTCAGGGCGGTGGTCCCGTCGACGCCAGCAAGATGATGGCCATGTTCATGGGAGGCGGCGGCAATGCTACGGCGACAAAGGAAGCACGGGAAGTTCACGCAGCCAACGTCCTTCGTCGAAGTCTTGGAGAGCGTGCAGCCAACGGAGGAACCAAGACCCCTAAGGGCACCTTGGAGACTGGTGTCAAGGCTGCAGCTGGAGCTGGAGCATCCAGCGGCATGCCGACTTGCTCGGACGACGGCAAGGTCAAGATGACCTACCACCAAATCAACCAAGACGGAGCCGGGCCATTAACGGCCATGGTTGACGCCACTTCGGGTGGAACTGACCCAGCGGCATTCAAATCGGCCGAAGTAACACAAAATGTGCCGGGAATCGGTATTGGAGGACTGTCAGCCGCGGCCGTGATGGACTTTCCGGTAGAAGTACAGATGCCAGCGGGAATGACATGCTCTGGAACAGTAGGCGACGCTCAGAACGTATGCATTGTTCGCATGCAAAATGCAGCAGCAGCAGGCCCATTTGGAGGATCGGTAGCAGTGACACAGAGCCCAGCTGCCAAGAAACGTGCTATTGAGTTCAATTTATCCAAGCGTCACTTTGCCCGAGTTCTAGCCAAGAGAAACGCAGAGGATGACGCAGCAGCAGCAGCAGCCATCGCAGAGCTCGAAAAAATGGGATCTACAACAAAAGATGCCGAAGCCGAAATCGAGCCAGTTGTCCCTTCGGCTCTGAACCAGAGGAGTGCCGAGGAAGAGGCAGCGGCAGCAATTTCTGAGCTTCAGAATGTTGGATCTGCAACTACTGCAGACGCAGAACTTGCAATCGAGGATCAGGCATAGACAAGCAAAGATACGTGTATAATGTGCAGTTTGGAGATCTTAGGCTGTGCTAGAGACTTAATTTAAAGGTTTGAAATAGGGAATCAGGAAAAATAAAGTCGTATGGTGGCATGGAGATTTCTTGAGTAAATGTAAAAAAGTTTAGACATCAACTTTTTTTAGATTCAGACCAAGGATAAATTGAAATAGATTCTCCGGAAGTTAAATTTACATTGTTACACAAGAACTGTCTACTTATATTTGTTTTTTCAAATCATTTAAGGTGTATACAAGGGCACGACCCTCAGTATTTATTAGTAAATATTAAGCAAATCAATTGTCAAAAAGACTATTAAATTTTAAAGTTATTTAGTTATCTTTTGCAGTCCTTCATAGTCATAGACTCAGTAGGGACTTAAATTGAATATTCTATTCTATTCTAACGTGTATACAGCTATCTACATATGAAACATGACCAGTGCCATCATTCCTGACAACTTTCAAGTAATCCCATTTTCCCCTTCTCCCCCACCTCGCACTTGTCGTATACATTTGAAATATTGAGAACGAGCTCACGGTATTCATAGCATGCCACCTGTTGGAAAATTGCGTCCCAACGCCATGTTGGACAACATAAGAGCCTACCTACCCGCCGCCGTTGCGCAAATCATGGCCTCCACGCCACCTACCCTCCTCTGAGACCTCCAGACTCCAGAGCCCAATCATACCTATCATACCAGTGCCGCCTATGAAAATCGTCCGGGCTACGGAGGCCTTGATTGGCCTACGACATAAAGCAGTCTCTACTGTAAAGGCTGTGCCGCAACCTGCGGGCAAAGCCCCAAAGAAAGACGCCCGAAGGTGTCTAACAAGTTATTTGTTATGCGCATAAATATTAGAATAGATTAGGAGAAGAGGTAAAAGCCAAGATCACTAAACATAGGCTGAGTGATGAGAAGTGTTGAAACCTAGAATATACAATGTTAGTATAAGCTAAATAGCAAATGAGTCATACATTTACCTGGCTGTTAGTGTTTACCAGCTAGGTAGAACATTTGTGTGGTGTTAGGTTGAAAGAGATGTCAGTCACATGATGCTGACCTTCCGCCATTAAACGGGAGGCAGGAAGACAGATCACTCACTTCTACCAGGGTACCAGTAGAGGACACTTGCACCGTCGTTGAAGAACTAGATCACTCGTGGACTGCTAATTATGTATATAAGATAGTAATAGTTCGTTATAGTTTTCCTTATGCAATTTTACTCTAATTAATAGATCAATAATTATTTCATCTCAACAAGAAGCACCCGAAAGCTTACTCGCATGTACTGTTGCGAGTAAGGGCTAAGTTTAGGTATACTTAGCCTCGCAATCTTGCAGGGGAGGGCAAGACTGAACATCTGTGCGCGGTGTCCTCTACGAACCTGAGAGTGAAATATTCTCCTAGGGCCAAGTTCAGTCAAATTTCGCAACATCAAAGAAGCTGGCCACGGGGCAATATTCAAATTACCCCACTACGTCGTTTTTTCGCTCCTAACGAGTTTGACTTCTACTTAAGTCTCATCAATCCTACAAGTACGACCTAGTACATCCTCATTCCAATGACCACACCACTCTTCGACCTTCTCTGGCCTCAGTTGACCACCAAATACATGCCCACGCCGATATTTACACCCGACGGAGGAAGCAAAGCGTGGAGCACAAACCTGGGAGATAGCTCTTTGGGAAGGACGTGAGAGGGATCAGGACAAGTTTACAAGATGATGCAGATGAGGGATACATTCTCGACGGGCTTGAAATTTCGAATTTTGGCAAGGAGTTTTACGAATTCAACTTTGTGCGCGCCAAGAATTCGCTTGCGAGAGTGCAGCTCACACTATAAAAACAAGCAAACGATAGAAGGTGTTGTGGTCTACCTCCTGGTGATGTTCTCCGGTATGGTTTGAGTAGCCTGGGCACCTACTCCACTTGGGAAGGAGACATCTCAGATTACATGTCGCGCGGAGAAAAGTTGATGGATGGCGGAGGCATGTCTGGAACACTCAGGGTTTTTGAGACGTTCCCCTGGGTGGGTATTCACGGATGAGAGTTGACTTGGGGTGAAGAAAAAGCCGCCATAACTTCGCAGTGGTACTTGCAATTGAAATCTGAGGCATGAGTACTCTTCTTGTAAATTGAGTCATCTTTTCTGTACTTTTCTTTGATATTGTGTCATAGCTAAATAGCTGCATACGCAATTAAAATCTGATACAAAAAAAATCTTGCAAGGCTATTTTAGGCAAATTACATTTTTAACTCGATATCATTCAATTAAAATGACCCAAATTAGTCGGATGGTCAAGTCCTTTATTTTCCTCAGGTTCATAGTCATTTGTATATAAAGACTTGTAGTTCTGGCAAAATAGAATCAAGTTGTTTTTACTGAGTTATCTTTTTTTTCAATCTCAAATGCACGTCGCCTGCCACAGGTCGGACACTCAGATACCTGACAGAAGGTAACAGTCGACAAATATTATGATTGATATATGATTTAGGAATCTACACTTGCGCTAGAACTGACAAGATAGTCTGTGGAGAGATATCTTCATTAATGTGCAGAAGTGAGGTTACTTTGTTAATTTCTATGTTACAGATTGTGGGAAGCTCGTCCCTTATCCCCTAGCTTGCTCGCCTGTAGACCGATCACGTAACCAGTATGCAGTACATCAAATTATGTTCCCAACTGAGCAATTATGTCAATTATCCTATATCAACTACCCATCTCAGATACTACACACAGTACTAATTGTAACGCTGTTAAGTAGAGACTGGATATCCTTCATGCGCCATAATAACTATCTATGCACAAGCTACTAGATCCACCATACTACATAGCTGAGCATAACAACTAACGCCTTTTCATCCACCTCAGTAGTGATCACCAGTGACGCAAGCTTTTACCCGCATGCGCTCGGCAAGCGGTAGTGGATGAGCTGGGGTGCATCGTGAGTGATACCAGCTCCTTTAACCGAATCAGAACCGGCTTTGCGATTCTGGCAAAGCCAATAGGAATAAGGATATGGCTCTTGGATGCGGCTCCGAGACTGACGAAACACAACGCCGATACTCGAAGAAGCTTCCAACCTTGTCGCCTTCGGATCGCAAACGTTCTCGCGACCCTAAGAACACCCAAAAGTACTCGTACGGTCGATGCTGAGTGGATTTCAACCGAGATTTACCATAAAATCCGAGAGGTGCGTAGTTATGTAATCCCCACACGCGAATAACATGACATCGGCGGACCATGGACGAATTCAGAATTACCAAGCTCTCTAATAAGAAATCCTCTCCATTACTCTAGGCCAACACTCATCTATGTATGAGATTGCGCTTGTATTCGCTTTCAACACAACCACGGATATATAGATTTTCGAGAACCACATGCTTAAAATCGCCCAGCTAGAAATAAAAGGATTGAAATGCTGACCGCGGCGTCTGCTTTTCAGGTAACTAGGAGCCTGACCTGTGACAAGAGAAGTGTAAATAATGAAAGGAAAAGGTAACTCTGTAAAAAAAAGTTCATTCCAATTTCTCCCCAAATTCTAGGACAACATACACTGACCATGATTGACTTGACCTTTTGACCTCTAAATATAGACATGCGCTAGTAATAGATAACCTGCTAACTCGTGACGGGGTTTTCACGGATTGGGACTGATCACAAGGACAACTCCGATTTCGAGGTTAGGCTGCGATAGAGCGGCGTTCCCATAGATGCAGATAGTGCGCACAAGAAGATATCAAGGGGGGTACGTACCAGAAGGGGAGTTTGGTACAAGAGATGAGTTGAGCCAGGGAGAAAGGATGATTCTCAGGTGGCCAATATGGTGAGTTAAGACTAGTCTACACAGAGGATATAATGGATAGGCGACGACGTGGTAGATTATCTTTCCAAGGAAGAAGTTAGTAATTCCTGTCGAGTTATTGTCTTTCATGTACATCTGAATTCATTAAACCTTAACATTGCTACAAAATACGAGCACTGACCAAATCAGACAAACCGCGTCCGTATGAACTGTCCCTATATTTACTTCGAGATATTTCTCTGTCCAACTTCTTCAATGCTTACTCTTAGTCTTTGACCTTTCTATGAATCTGGAAATAAAATTTTGCAATTACGATGAAATTGGCTCACAAGGCCATAATTCAACTCTCCACAACGCCCATTTCTGACTCCTAAAGAGCTCGATTCCGAATACACACTATAAAGCAAATACGCACCAACTTGTATATTCTCCTTTCATCAATCATATCTCCCGATTTGCCTCCAAAAACATGCCCACAAGACTTCAATGCTGGCAACATACCGCAACTCGTGGCGCATAAATATACCTGGACAAATATTCAACGTAGGCGTGAGGAAGAACAAGAAATATGGGCAAGGTTAAGTGTTATGATATCGTCAATATTTTTTTTGAATCGTTTAATGTCTTTGCAACTATATAGCTTTGACATATCACCGGTGCAATGTTGGCATGTTGGATTGCTCTTTTGCCGTTAGAGACGCTCGAACTCTAGATTTCATTCGCAAATACCACTATAAGGTGCGTTCGCTTCCGCATACAATTCAACTTTATCCGTGAGTATGCAATGGAAATTGCGTGCGCGGGAAAAGTCTCAAAAAATGCTACAGTTCCAGCCACGCCAGGCCTAGACACCGGGACCGCAAGAAGGTTGGCATATTCATCTATATCTCCCTTCTTTGTACGCGTCGCGGCCGACTAGATCCAATCCGCCATCTCCGTATCGGGTGCTGGGTACCCTCCAGAAACGCATCGGATGGCTTTCCCTCTATGATCAAGGGTTTGAGATAAGTAGAGCTTCGACCCTGCCATCTGATCTAATCCTGGCTAGCTTCATGATAATGGTGGTAGGGAGTGTGTTGAGAGATGAATACGATGCAGACCGCGATATGTTTGGGAATCCCCATCGAAATGAGGGCTTTGTTACCAAATTTCAGCTCTACAGACTCTATAGTAAG